CGAGCGCAAGCTGCCAAACCCTGTGCTTTATTTTTTGATGAATTTGATTCTATCGCACCTAAAAGGTCAACTAGCACTTCTTGCTTTACACCCCAGAACGATTTCACAAGGCAGTAAATTACCAGCATCGAATTTTCCGAAGGCGCTTTGGATAAAAACTCCGTAGGATCTCAAACGTTACGCAATGGCGTGAAAAAGGTTTTGGGTATAGTAGTAGGTTTATTAAAGGATAGGGCATGTATAATAGAAACTGATTCCCTAGAGAATCAATGTCATGTATCACGGGCAAGTCCCGAACATTGTATTTATTTTATTTTATTTTTTTTTTCTCGGTATTAATAAATTTTTCCGTGAATTTTATTCACACAAATTTTTTTGACATTTTTAAAGAACATTGAATAATTTACATCTTATATAAAAATATCTAACATGACATCAGATCTTAAATTATTAGAGCAACATATGAGTTATTGACGATCACACCATTCGTGTCGAGCAAAGAGTATTACATATTAGCAAAGAAAATAATGAAGGTTTATGCAAAGGTAAAGGAAAATTTTTAACAAAATTTTCGCAACAATAGATAGTCCGTATAGCCTCCAAAATTACGTTTTTTTTTAATGGGATTGAACATTTAGATAAATTAGTAAGAGAAAAAGGGTGTTTATTCACAATACAATTATAATGTTAAATTTTGTTATGTTTTCTGTATAATAATAACAGATTGTTAGAGGTTACATATTCTTTTGACCTGAGTTGTAAATTTTTGACTCGGTTGAACCGTTTTGACACGGATGACACGGTTTACTATAGCCCGGTTCTAAACTCTAGCACAATGTAGATCTTTGTCCAATTTCGTGACTGGCTGTTCCACTTGGCATTTCTCCATTTCTTCCAGTAATAAATTCCTCGTATCTGTATGAAAAAAATGTAAAACGAAATTCATAAAAACTCTATTAATAAACTATAACCAAGGCTTTATCCTCAAATAAACGGAAATTCATACATACATTGAAGCTAATCTTGCGTATTCTTGTGGCGTTATTGAAGGTCGGGTAATTTTTAATGAATCTTGCATATGTTTGTTTGTAATTATCGCCTATAAATAATAATTATTAACACATACCCCACATATCAATATATTTAAATTAACGAAAAATAAAATACCGATCGCTTATTCTGTTCTTTGTCATTTCCTTCATCTACAACTTTCTCAGGTGAAAGCACCTTTTTGATGAGTCCAAGCTATAAAATTTCCAAATATGAGTTACTGAGTCCAATTACGCATAACAACTTTTGTTTATATTTAATACACTTACTCTTTCTGTCAGTTGTGATCTCTCAGCAGCAGTTAATGTAGTATTATTTTTATTATTTTTTGAACTCGCGCTGAAACAGACAAATTGCATATCTCTGCCATTAGTGCTCGGCGTTTTCTTTTCTAGGAATTTTTCAGAATCTATAGTTTCATGAATTGCTTCAAGATGAGCATTATACAATAATGCTTGTAAATCCGCTCCCGAATACCCTTGGCATTTTTTTGCATAGTAACTTAAATCAATATCATCACTTAAATCCAATTTTCGAGCTAATGCTTTCAAGATCTTTTTGAAATATAATTAATGTTTATTTTACTTGATAAACTAATTTAGATATTCAAGAAACCTTGCTACCTCTGTCCTTTCTTGTAAAGTAGGCATGTTGCAAAACAACGACTTATCTAAACGTCCTGGTCTCAGTAATGCGGGATCAATGAGATCCGGACGACTTTAAATTTTGAATTTATCGTATTAGTTATAATTATTCTGCGACTGCGAGCATGTCCTTTTTTACTGCCTCTAATATATTATTTATGTGGTACTTACCTTGTAGCAGCAAGAACATATACCCCATCAAGACCTTCAGCTCCATCCATTTGAGTTAACATTTGATTAACCACTCTGTCCGTAACGCCTGTGCTATCGTGTCCTCTAATTATTAAATATACATATATATATATTAGCAAATTTTTATTGAAACCGTATCATGTATGTATGCATGCATATATATATATATACGTATACGCAATGTGCTAGTTGACCTTTTAGGTGCGATAGAATCAAATTCATCAAAAAATAAAGCACAGGGTTTGGCAGCTTGCGCTCG